GACTGGGAAGGTGAGGACCGCCCGGGAGGATGCCGTGGCCGAGGTGACAGGCGCCGGCGGAAGAGAGGGAGGAGGAGGAAAGGGGCCGAGGAGGGCAGGCGGTGGCGGTGGAGATGGCGGACGCGAGGGAGATGGGCATGAGGCAGAGGCCCTTCCCCTGGAGGTACTGCATCGCCGACCCCATGTCCTCCTCCATCAGCTTTGCCACTTGGTGCTCCGTCACCGTCAGGGTGTCGCCGCTGCTGTTTGCTCCGCCACTTCCCGCCCCGCTCTGTCCCTGTTCAATTCTCCCACCATTAATTCATCTTCTTAAATATATAATAATGGATAAAGAGAATAGACGATAACGTGGGGAAGTGATTGTTCGGGACGAAGCGAGAAGAGGGACATGGTGCTGCGGGCGTTTGGGGGAGAGAGAGAGAGAGAGAGTAACTACTACCTCCGAGGACATATCGGCCACGAGTGGTGCCACTGCCGCAGCCCCGCCTAACCTGCTCATGCTCAGAACCTGCTTGCCAAAAATAAACACCATCAGCATCAGCATCACCAAACACTATGCATCGTATCAAATCCACCACAATATTCTGCTGCCATTGTCAACAGAATCCAATGGTGGGATCACATGGGCTAACTCGCGTTCGTGCGCCGCGCAAGAGAGCCATCGGATGCGCTCCGTTAACCACGTGATCCCATTTCCTAATGTCCTCACGTGATGTTATCCACCTCAGTTACACAAAGGGGGTGACGCACATCACGTGAGCCCCCGGGAATAGTTTCTCGGGCAAATGATAGATTATCTCATCTACATCAGCATGCAGGGACCAATAGAAACCAGAGAAGGAGAGCTTGCCTTGACTTGGAGCTGGAGGAACTTGACGTAGTCGATGATCTCATCCAGCATCGATGCCTTGTCCGTCTGCAATCCAAATCCACCATCAATAGCAAGAAAGAAAGGAAGAAAGAGCAGCAACCACTGTGTTTGTTTGAGGTCTATCATGGCGTGGAGGACACGGCGCTGTTGCTCTTCCACACTCGAAGTTCAAGTAGGATGCACTAAAACCCCTGGTTCCAGGTTCCCCACGTTTCCCTTCTCTTTAGCTCGCTGCTGCTCCATTCCCCCATAAGGTAGGTCCCCATGACTTAACGAACAATCCCCGTTTACTTCATTAAATTCTTCCTGCAGCAACCTGCAATCCATGGCGTGGACCACGTACTACTACTAGTTGCTGATAGCTTCCCTTCACGAACTCCAAAGGCCAGGCGTCGGATGCACAAATACACTTACCCATGTCTATGTCCCATTGAATACTATTCCTCCCCATATCGATTGGTGTGAATGATGCATACAGTAAGACAAATATCATGTCCCCGTCCTCACCATCCTCACCGTCTATCTAATAGATGCGCAAATCTAGCAGCATTGGAAGCTTCAATTCGACTACGTAGATACTTAGCAGTTTAATGAACTGTTGTTTGTGTAAACTTGGAAGAGAGGAGAAAAGGATGGGAGAAGACAAAAGACCTTGTTAGCGTTGGGCACCAACTCCTGCAGAGCTTTCATCCTGTCCGCGATTCTTTCCCTGCGAAGCTGCGAACAGAAACAAAGAATAATGGCTGGGGGCAAGCGAACAAACAAAATGGAAACAGAGCAGAAGCTGCAGCACAACAAAGGACACGGAAGCTGCGGTGCGCAGCAAAATCTAAATCAGGTAGTAATTCCCACCACACCAATCGAGTGACAGTGAGAGTGAAGCGTCGATGGGGCCGCATAGGTTTCTGTGTCCTTTAAGGCTATTTATTTCTCGACTCTTTTTGCTGGGGGGAGAAATCCAGAAAGCAACCATTTCCTTTCCTGTTTGCTATTTGCTTACCCTTTCGGCGATGCTGTGGGGGTCGGTGGCTTGGCCTCTCCGAGCCCTCACCTTCTGCCTCGGCGGCCCCGTGCCACCGCCTGCGGACGCTGAGGCCGACGCCGACGCTGACGCTGATGCAGCTTGTCCCACTCCCCCCGTCGCTGCCGCTGCTGTAAAGTTCTGGCTCGGCATCGACGCGCCGCCCTGGTGCTGGTTTGGACGTCGATCAGTGGAAGATGTCACCCAAAACATAGAAAGAAAGGCTTTTTTTTAGCTGAGAGTGTTTCAAGATTGAGTGTTTTATGAAACCTGGGGATGACCGAAAGCCGATTGAGCGCGGTGCAGCGGTCCTCCGAGTCCATTGAAAAGTCCCTCGCCGCCCTTTCATCACAAGATCGAGTTTTTTTAACTGAGCTGTAGTATATTTGAAGTAGGGAAGATAAAGAAACAGGAGAATTACGGAAACGTACGGTGGGGTTGAGGGATTTGAAGGGGGCGTCGACGTCGTAACCACCGGTCCCGAGCGTCAGCGGCAGCGAAAGAAGCCCGGAGTCGCCGGACGCCACCGGCGATCGCCCCAACGACGGGAGAAGCATCTGCTGCTGGCTCTGGTGGTCGAGATGGACCATCATCGCCTTCCCGTTCGGCGAACTCCCGCCGCTGATCTGGTGCTGCCTGAGCCGGTTGGCGAGCAGCGACGACTCGTCGTACGGCGGGTACCGCATCCCCTCCGCCGCGGCAGCGGACGGCTCCTCCGGAGACGTTTCGCCGGCGAGGCCGGCGCCGAAGATCCTCTGTCCGGCCTCCGGAGGGTCCCAGGGGTTCTTGAGGTTCCCGAGCTCGGCCCAGGAGGATGGCAGACTGGAGAGCATCTGGTCGAGGAAGTCGTCGTGTCCGGAGGCGCCGTCGTCGAACGACGCCTGCGGGCCAGAGTTCGGGATCTGCCGGCCGCCGTGGCCGTTCTGCAGCTCCCTGAGGGCGATCTGGGCGACTGCCACGGAGTGGGAGATGCCGCCGTTCATGGACCCCGCCATGCCCTGCATCTCTCTACTGCTTGGCTGCATCCCTTCTTCCGCCGAAAGGTTTATGGTCAGGCCTAGGGCGTGGGAAGGGGAGCGAAAAGTTCTCCTTTTTCCTTTCCAACAGAGAGATGGCGAAGGAGAGGGAAGAGACGAGTGAGCTGATGAGGGAAATGGCCAGTTCGTGCCGCCTCGCATTTATAATGTCACAACCGTAATTAATTCGTTAGTCACTTAAAAAAGAAACTGGGTTAAGAGTAGTCAAACCAACTTACCTATCTCATGATTGGTCTGGGAAGATCGATCCGTCATAGAAGTCCAATCGCCGGTCAGGTACAACAGTGAGTAACGTTGCAGGGTGGGAAAAAAGAAACCGCAGGGGATTAGGGTTCCTTCTGTTTCCTTGGGCCGTCGCAGACACGAGGAAGGCAGACAGATCACATCCGTCAGATCACGCCATCGTCCCGGTTCTGATGGAGCGGACGGCGCAGATTCCACCAAGCGAACCCGAGTGGCGGCCAGGACAGCGTGCGGGTGTTGTGTCGTGTCGTGTCGTGCACGTATGCGATTCGTTAACGGGCCGGATCCATTGGGCTAAGCCATCAAAGATCCGATCTGAACGAGTAGAGGTCAATGTCGATGAACAATTAATGTCACGAATCAAAATGTTTTCTTTAAGCTCATCGATTAGGACTAAAATTTCCAGTACATCTCATCAACAAGAGACATGCAGCTATCATTCTTCAATGTTATTGCTTACATGGCTTCTTCTTCGCATACTTTGTGATCATAGCATCTAAATATAAGAGTTCATTGATGACAATTTATTATGTTAAGTGCAGTTGATTCATTCAATACAACTCAGGTTTTGTTCTCTATATATAATAACTCAAGTTCTTATTGTGCTTTAAGAGATGACTCTTAAATCATTCTCTAACAGGTGAAGAGAGGCATTTAATACCGGAGGAGAGGGATCATATATTATTAAGAGGAACCTATCATTGGCACCAGAGTAGTAATATTATATTTACCGAGCAAAAAAGTCAAGGGGAGGAGGTAATAAACCCCTCACTAAGCATTCACCTTTTCTTTTCTTCTTTTCATCCAAGATGTGGTCAATCATGCAAGTGTGATGGTGAGGAGGGTGCAGAGCTTAAAGGTGGTGGAAATGCCTGCACCAGCAGAAGCAGAAGTGTGTGTGTGTGTGTGTGTGTGTGTGTGGTTGATCCATCCTTCACTCAGAGCCATCACATCTCCAGAGTCAAAAAAGGAAGGAAGGAAGGAAGGAAGAGAGCGTGGCATTGTGAAAGCAGTAAAGAAATGAAGCACTGGAGAAGATGCCGCAAGAGTGGGAGTAAGCCATTAATAGCAGGGAAGTGGAGCCGCACGAAATGCTCATCAATTAACATCCAGCTTCATCCTCTCGCATCCTCAACCAGACGCACGGCATTGTTGTAAGCTCCATCAATGCCGCTTTAATGGAGATGATTCCTTGACTTGCTGCTTACATTGATGTCATGCTCTCCTCTCTATTCTTTTAATCTTCGTCTCCTCATGGTCTCGTCTTGCAGAGAGGCTTCTCCATGGCAGACCACCGGAGCAATCGAACTGGAGTTCTCTCCACCACATGCCTCCATAAATCCTACCTCGAGACGTCGTCATCCTCAAAGTGAGTTCATAAATGCTCGAGCATCTTGTGCATAAAATAATGGTGCGACGAGCATGCATCATGCAGCCTCGAGTCCTTCAAGGCTTCAGCTCTCCACCTCCTGCGTTCATCATATGATCTTTGACTTTTGGACTCTCTCATCAATGGCCATTACAACCGCAGTAATGATCTTTAGCATGTTTCCATTACAAGTTCACTACCATGCATCATGATTCAATAGTTTGATGTTATCATCTTTAGAAATGACAGCTGCTCCTCACACAACCTTCCTTTCCACACCATACCCAATTCATCACCAAGTGCAGAGAGGTCTTTGCTTGATGCTTCTATACCTTGCCATGTCTAGTGTTTCATGGTTGTAATTTATCTTGTCAGTTCTTCCATTATAGTCCATCTTATTTATATCTTGGCAGCACAAGTAGTTCCTCATAAAATGACACTGAGGAATTAGTAGCAGATTGAAATGATCCAAACAGAGTGAGCCGAAGCAGCAGCTTCGACAAACACATCCAGAAGCTTTAACCCTACACATGGCTGCAAAACCTGACTCCTGGAAATTGAAGACAAGTTGACCCAAGCAAGTCTCTCGCTCAAACACACACATCAAACGAGAACTCATCATCTGTGCGGCAATGGCTGCCTGAACTCACCTGTGAACTGCTTCGCTCTTATGCTGTGAGACCAACCTCGCAGTGTCCCTCCACCAGCAGACCTCGCTCTCTCTCGCGCGCAGCTGTCTCTCCGCACACTCCAACGCAGACTCCAGCTCTGCAATCCTCTCCCGCTGCCTTGTTTCCAGGAGCTCATGCAGCCTTCTCTCCAGCTCACGAGCAGAAACCCCACGGTAATTGCCACCGTCTTCTTCATGGACTTGCGTTACCTCTCCGTCGTCTTCGCCGATGTGAGAATCGCCAGTGCAGTTGAAGGAAGACTCCAACTCCGCAATACCTTCTTGCTGCCTCGCCTGCACGAGTTGATTAAGCTTTCTCGTCAGCTCATGCGCCGAAACTCCACATTGAATGCCGCCGCTGCCGCTGCCGCCTTCGTACGCCTCCCTGAAGCTTCCATGAAAGGTCTCAGGCGCATCAGCGTTCACAGCAGCCAACTGCAATTAGTGTAGGCGAAGTGCATGTACGTGTAAGGAAGCTGACGGTGCCCAACTCTACAAAGCAAACATGTCGCGTATACCACACATTTCGATCCACATTACCATGCGATGTGGCGGCAGCGATGAAAGCTTGCGTCCCACGGCGCATTGCAGACGTTGTAGTTCGACTTCCATCTCCGCTTCCATTTGGTGCATGCTGAGGCGTGCTGTGTTCCTCGTGAATGTAGCACATGTCGACCGTGTCTCAGCTTCGGGTTCCATATAACTGTTTGATGCAGAGGAGGCGACATTGTTGGACTCTGCTACGTGGGAAGAGACGCCTTTGTTGTGCATCTCATCCTTGATGTCTTTGAGTAGAATCTCCATTTGGACTCTCAGTTGCTCCATCTTGTTGATTTCGGTGGCACTCCTCGTTAGGAGGAACACCAGACCGACTCCCATTCCCAGATTCAAAGAGACTGCATCACTCTGCTTTCCTGCAAATGGATAGACGTCACAGAGTTATCTGCTGTGAAACAGAGAACCAGAAGAAGCAGTAGCAATCTAGAGAAGCGATTCCAGTACGAGAACGAAGGATTCTCCTGGAACCTGCATCAATGGCGAGATTGCTCTCGCTGGAAGCAATATCCTTTCCTTCCATAGAAGCAGTCACCGCCGGTTCCTCCACCTTCGCCTCCTCCTCCTCTTCCTCTGTCATTCTCCTCTCTTTTGTTCTCCGGCGGTTAGAAGAGGATATTGGAAACCGCACCCGGAAACCGGATCCTTCGCCTCCACCGCCGCCGCCGCTGCGAGTTGGTGACGTCCGATGGAGTGAGAGGAGAAACCGGGAGATGAGGCTCCGGGGAGAATAAGCAGTGGGAGTGGCGGCGGACGCAGAGGAGGGAGGTAGGCACAGGAAAAGCTCCCGCCTTTTTACTCCCCTTTCGCTCTCCTCCTCGCCCTCATTGCTTTCCTGGAGGCAATCGACTATTCTCGTCTCCTCCGCCGCCTCCTCTTCCTTCCTCCGACTCCTTCCCTCTTCGTTCAACGCCACACAGAAACAGAGCACCTTCCCCTGTTTCCGCGAACAGGCCATCTTCCGATAGAATCTATCGAACTAGCGAAAAGCCACGACTTGGACGCGATACGTCCGATTCCGACATTTATAAGGCGTGGATTGGTGGCGGGAAGAAATCGAACATGGTTTGAGGAGGGAGAGAGAGAGAGGGAGAGGGAGAGGGAGGGAGGGACCCCGTTGGCCAGCGATTTCCCCTCATGCTTCCCGTGAAACAATTCAGCTAGCTGCCACTTACCCTCACCCGAAGGCTAGCAGAACACAGGGAATCCAGGAAACCGAATCTAACACTAGATTTAGCTCACATTGTCCACGTTAATCTTAAGCAGCTCAGCTCTCTTCCAGTCGTAGATGGAGATTAAGAGGACAACAAACACTACTGAATTGGGAAGCAATCGTCGCTGTTTGTTAAGAACGATAAGCTGAGAAATCAAACACGAAGCGCTTTAAGTCGGATTCAATTCGGAGGTTAACACAGCATTGCCGTGGTTTGCCTAATTCGACCATATTGTGTTCTTGCAAGAATTCAAACACGTCGATGTCTGTCGGCGGCGACGAGCAAGATTCAAAATTCAAGTTTGGCGATGGGATCGCGGCATGGAGACGATGCGACAGCCGACGTAGCGGGAACAGAGCAGGCAACAATGGAGGATGAGAGAGAGGTGTAGGGCGATTAGGAAGTAAGCTGGCAGGGAAGATTCACAGGCAAGGCGTGAGGGATTGAATGGGAAGCAATAAGTGCTGATGCTGAAGTAGGAGTAAATAAATGCCCGCAGCTCGATGACGGCTGCCAATTATTGGACGACTCCTCTTGCAACAGCGATCGACTTTTATGATGCTGTCTTCTGCCTGCAGATTTGATGCGGGAATCAAAAGGAAGTCGGAATGGCAGCTAAAAGATTGCTATCTGAACGATTTGAATCGGAGGATGCGAGGTTGTGAATCGATCGAAGAGTGATCGTCTTCCTGTGAGATAGAACTGCATGTTCTCAGACTTGAGGTCTTTTGAGAGCCACAGTTAACGTGAAACAAGTAAATCCCAACATTAGTAATTTTTAAATCACTCTGCGACGACAACGACGACGATAACAAAAAAAAATCATAAATCTTCAATTACTTGGATTCGGATACATGAATCTTTTTTTTTTTACTAATTTTTAAAATATTTTTTATTAATTAAAATATTTAAATTTTTATTTATAATTGTTAATAAAATCTTTAGATATTTTAATTTAAAAATAAAATAAAATCATTACATTAAATGAAAATTTTACCACTAATATTAATAGTTTCGCATCTCTTAACTATTTGTCTATATGTAGCATCTACGGGTGATGATTATCCACATCAACAATACCTATTTATTTACAAATAAGATAAAAATTTCTCTCTCCTATATTTTTTTCATGCACTAATTTAAATTTTTCCTTCTTACTAAGAAAATAAATCCCACCATAGTAAATGATCACGTGAAAGAAATCCTGCCATTTTAAGTTTTCAACATCATCAAATTACTCACAAGCTTTGAGAACAAAAGCATTTAGGCCCTTTTTGACGAAATTACTCGCAAATAATGAATAAATAGTCTCTTTGGTTGTTTGTATATATATATATATATATATATATATACAACAACATTACCTTGAGATACAACAATAACGAATTCTTCATCTTCTTCACCATCATATCCTGAAGGGTTGATTCCCAAATCTTGTTTCGTCTGGTTTTGAGTTGGACTTCTTCCATGCTTTAAGATTGGCAGTCTCTTGGAATAGATTTGATCCAGCGAAAGATGGTTGGCATTTCCGCAACTTCTTCCGCTTGCCTTGGTCGTATTCCTCGTCCCTGAAATAATTTGTGAAACTAAATCAGGAAAAAGAAACAAAAGAAAGAGCAGCATGAGAAGATTTCACAATAATTTATACAAGACCATTTATGTATTAAGTTACTAACATAAAATTTTATTTATTTATTTATTTATTACATTTCGAAGCGGCTGCTGAAGAATGCATGCAAGAGTATAAAAGATCAAAGCCTATCTGCAAATGTTGACAGGACAAACAGTTGGGATAAATTGTGGGCATATGGATGTATCTCAAACAAAGAAGAACAGAGAGTAGACCTCTTCCAAGCAAACTGGGCATGGCAGCTGGATAGCTTATCAAGAGTGCCCTCAGCAAGTCTAGTCACATTACTCTGCAGGAATTTGTACTGTGAATATGTTTCTATCTATCAAAACAAGAAGACTGTTTTTTACATCAGATTTACACCTAATCATTATGAAGGTATCTTTATGAAGAAAAAGATGAAAGACACCGGTTACAAGTTATGAAGGTATCTTTTTGTCATTCTTTTTGTGGTGTCAGTTGCTAATCGTCTGATTCATGAACAACAAGATCCGATTCTTAATTATTACCAACACCATTCTTATTCACAAGAGGGCTTTGAAATTCCAAATTTTATTAGCCAACAACAGACAAAGCAAAAGAAAACAGCGATGAAGCATGTAGATTCAAGGACATCAGCATCACGCTGAAACATTAAAGCAGCAACTTCCAAGAAAAAGCAGTTAATTGTATATCACCTTAGCTTAGGTTATTTCAAGGCCGCTATTTCTGATACCACACATTTAAAACACTCTAAACATATTAGCCATCCCGAAAGATCCTATAACAATTAAGATTAACCAAATTTTCTTTGAGGGCTTGGTTTATGTGGAACAGTATCATTTCTCTTTTTTATGGTTATTTCAATGTTATATGCTTTTCTATGTTCTCTCCCATTTTCAATCCATGCTGTTCCCTTTCTCCTGCTTAAACCTAAAAAAATCTCCAAGCCTGTCTCACCATGGAAACCAGAAAACTAAACGGCATGACTCATTCCATTCTGGTGTTTTTTTCGTCACTCAATTAAAGCAACCCACACGGATTAATTCTAGATATTCTTTTTCAATGAATGAAGTCACAACCTAACCATAGAACTAAATAAACAATATACTTTTACTTCTACAGCTCTTGGACAATGAAAGTAGAACTAAGTCTGTCAGTAATCATAATTGTCATCCGAATCAAAGTGAAGAACATTACCATTCATCGAGTACATAACCAATACTGGTTCTTCTTGAGCTTTCCGGTCCATTTAATTCCAATTTAGGTAATTCTGTATCATCCCACCTTGGAACTGCATGCCAAAAAGAAACTTCTAATTAACAAGCCATATTATTTAGAATGAATGAACAGTAGTTTGATGACCAAAAGAAAAACAGAACCAAACCGTAATGCAGATACCAACCAGTTGTTTCTTTCAAACCCCCCATCATCAGTTTCAAAAAATCATGCCGAGGTAGAAGTTTATCATCTGCATCAATGACTCTTGAGCTCAACACTTTCTCTGCGGTATCCAAGCAAGTTCTCGGTAACTGATTAGGGTCAAGTACTGCATTCTTAATACTGTTGAGCTCCTCTCCTCCACCAGCAACATTAAGTGATTCACTATTCGAGTACTTCCTCCACTTCACATTTTTGGCATTATCAGCTTTGATCAATCCAGAACAGGAGTGTTCTAAATGAGAATGTTTATGTACAGAAACATTTTCTGTGGCCTCAGAAGTTGATGCACCATGACTATCTAGGATGATATTATTATCTTTTGGTGAATTTTTTGAACTTAAATGGGGTTTCTTCCTTTTCTTGAATTTATTAATCAGACGCAGGTTTAAAGAAGAGAGAAACAGATGATTCCGACCAAAATGGAGGCCCACTTGTGGATATTTTGCAAGCTTCTTTGGCTTCAGCCCCATTTGTTTATCTATTTTGCCTTCTCCACAAGCTTCCTTCTGAAGAAAGCTGCTTGGTGTACCTAGTCCCTTTGATATATCAACCAAGATGGGCTTCCCCTGCTCAGGAATATTTTCCTTACAGGATTGCAGGTTCAATGAGCACCTCTCATTGTGACATGTGGTCTGAACAGGGAAATAGGAAAGCATGTTTATATTGAAGCAACAAAAAACTGGATGCTGAAAAGCACAAGAAAAACTATTATACCGCATTTGCTTCCTTCCTAATAAATCCATTTGTATGACTAGATTGGCTCAAAAGCCTAGTTTTTCCATTTTCTTCATGTATGTAGCTTACTTTCTTGCAAAGCACATCATTTTTCTTCAAAATTGCATTTGCAGCATCACCACTCTGAGATAGGAAAATGTAACAAAATGTCAAGCAAAGTGCAGTTGCAGTCAACCAGCATCCAACATCAAATGATTAAACATTTCTAAGGTTACCTTAGCAGTATCTCTTTCCTTGATAAGTTTGATTTCATTCTTCTGAGACTCAGGGTCAGGAGAGCCAGAGTTCTTTGGCTGAGCAACAAGGACACCAGACTTGACCACTCCGTTACTGCCACCAGAACGATGACACTTTTCACTATCAGATCGACCACTTTGAGAAATAAAAGGGGAATCATTTTCACAAGAAGCCTTCGAGATAGCTTTTACCACCACTGAATCTTTATTCACCTCCTGCAAAATGGTTCCAACAGGAGGTCTCATTGGGCTTTTTGAATGAACTACTGATGTCGATATTATCTGCTGTATTCCTTTTGGTAAGAAATTTCCATCTGATTGCAAAAAATAATTTTTTCTTATTACCTGAGTATTATTATGCAATTCTGGAACCTCACTTAGAGCATTGTTATCATTCTTTCGCAAGGTAGAAGCTGCTTGATGTAAAGGGTTAGGCGAGGAGGCGTCCACCAATCCAGACTGAATATTAGTGGCATCAGTTCTGGTTTTGACAGAGATAGATTCAGAAGTGCTTAGTTTTCTCTCTGTTGCACTAATCTGAGCTGCTCCACTTGAGACCAAGGATGATGATTCAGGAATCAATTTCTTTCCAATGGCACTGGCAGAAATGTTATCTTTGCAGACTGTATTAATTGATCCCTTAGGTGTAGAGCCTCTATCACGGACATAAAATAGCATATAGGCTTTCTGCACCAAGACAATCTTTTCACTTACCTGGCGAACCTGCAGATGAGCGTCTGAAAGAATGATGAAAGGATCTCATTCACTAAAGATATAAGCACATTCAAACTGAGCTTTCATAAAAAATTAATAAGAAAATCTGCAAAATCTATGCTGGTTGATTTTTTTCATTCAATTTATGTTTTCTTTTATTTTTCTGTCTGGTATCCTTTCTATTTAAGTGCACTAAATATGTTTCTAATTCCTCACTGAGAAAGAAACAAATCTTTCCTGGTCTCATGTCCCCAAAACTAAACAAACAAAAGATCTTCCTTCTTGTCTTTTTCCTTCCATGTTGCTTGTTTGCTTTTCTTGTGGTATTCTACATACAATCCATGTGCACGAGAAGGTAAGGCCAACCACTATCTAAAAGTTTTTTTCCATCAGAAAGGATATTAAAAGATTCTATTTTAAATCTGTATCTACATTTTAAAATATAATCATATGAATATATTAAATGAAAATCAAATGTTCCGAGATTATCACTCTTTAGGGAATTGCATATACATAAAGTTGAAATAACCGGAAGTGGTAAATAAACTAAACCTGGTTATCATCAAGAGAATGCCACATTCCACTGGAGGTGCGAACATAACAATAGTAATGTCCAGAGTGAGTACTCCAACCTGCATGCACCAGTACACCATAAAGGGTGTATTTTAGATCTCCCCCCTGCAAAGATCAATATTAGATGAATGAATAATCAGATTTAAAGATGAAACCATTTGCATATTTTAAATGAAGGGATCACTTTATAAAAAGTATATACGAACATGTTGATCGCTGACGAAAGGTTTCAGGTCAAGAGTGGGTTCAAAGGTCACTTTTTTGTCAATCTTCTGACCAGGAACATGAGAACCAAAACGCTTGAGGTGGATAGTGAGAACATATGGGGCCTTGTGAATGGTAAGTTGCTTAAGGGCCCTAACTTTTTCTTTGCAGCGTTGGCACTGGTACTGCCTCTGTCCTCCGTCTAATTGCTCCACTGCAGTGAAATGTGCAAGAGCCTTCCGCAAAGAGTCAGCCTTGACAATTTCAAGGCTCAAGTCTAAGAAGGGATCAAATTTACTGGAAGAATAGGAACATTGCATGCATTTGACCTGCAACACATCATGCATGACCTTGGTTACATGCATATATTTCCATAATTCAAAGAAAATGAGAAAGAAAGCAATAAGAAGTTGACTTTGTTATAAACATTAGAGAAAGAAGGTGACATTTAAGCAAATATGAGGAAGAAAGGGTCTAAATGAATTAACAAAATATAAAGAGTGTGTGTCGATGTATCAATTAGTTTTACACTATCAAGATCAGTTAATTCTGGTCAAGTCTCCACTGGCTCTGTGGTTTCATTTGTGCATTTGGGAAGAAGAAACAAAATAGTTAAATGATTTGTCCAGTAAGGAGATTTTCCTAAAAGCTCAGCTTTTAGAAAAGATCAACATCAGGCTCGTGCAACAATTCATGGACCAACATCACCCCATGGTCTCAAAGCATGCTTTGTCCAATTCCTCAAGAAGTTTTCCTTAATGAACATTGATAGATGAGATTTCAATAATGTTCACAGAATGTTATCTGTCCAGGGAATTGATAGGTATTAGCTTGGAAGTCAATCCTTTGCTACCAGATTTGTTTGCCTAGACAAATTATTCCTTTAGGAAGAGGTATTTCCTTAACCCTTTATGTCCTTTGTTTGATACTCCCATAATAAGAGTCGCTATAGATTGTAAACTTATCAACATGAGATCCACAAAGTTACCTGGCTCCTGAGACGGCCGCCAAATATCTTGTGCACCAAACTTCTCTCATAAGCACTAGGGGACTCACTTGGGACTCCAGAGGGTAAACAACATTTGTGCATTGACTCGAGCAGGTTAACCATGTACTCATGTGCATCTTCCTGTCTGGAATTGCGAAAATTACGTGATATGCCTGTTTACATGGTTAAGGTTTGTCCAACCTTGGTCGCCCAGGTCACAGAGGAGCAAGTTTTAACCTAATTTGAAATTTTCTTATTAGATAAAAAGTTTCAGTATTGAGATGGCATAAATGTATGCATAAAAGGATACAACGCAAGTTCTTGACAAGGTGAGAAGGTGACAATATTTTTCCACTCGACTGTAAAGCTGTGATGACATGATTCTGAAGAGCGCACATCGCACAAAATCCAGTTGTATGGCCTGCAGACAAGAATTAGGAAATTTTTAGTATATATTTGTTTCAAAAACACTAGCAAGAAACCCGATATATACAAGATGAGAAAGAGGGAAAAGAAGAACTCACAAGAAGATTTATGCTTCCCGCTTTGTAAATAAGCAGCAAAAGGCTCAGTGTATGTCAGGCATTGGATGACCGAATTGAGAAAACAAGTGTTGCCGAGATTCGCCAGACCAGCACCCTGCAAGACACTTAATTTTAAATTACTCGCCCAATAAAATTGAAACATAAAATGTTAGATTGCTTAAAGGGTTAACAAAATAGAATATGGAAAGGAAGATTTGGGTAAGCCATTTTGAACTTGAACTAAACTAATACCTTAAATGATCACAGCAAAAATGTATACGGAGGTAAAATTTGCAACCTTTTATATATAAACTTAAGCAAATAGAACCAAATCAGGTAATACAAAACTCATCATTGACAATTCGAATTGCTCCTTCACAGAACGTGTCCAAAGTCTCAATCTCCAAAAGACTCCTCCCAGCAATAAGCATATGCAGATGAAGATTATACATCGAGATTTTCCTTTTATAAAATAATGGAATCTTCAATCAAAACGCAATGGAACACGACTTACTATTCTCCGGAAGGTGATCCGAAAGCTAAGCTCAGGATCCAAACCGTGCTCGTAAAATCTACCCTCGCCCGATCGCGACGACACGGCCGCGGCTGCGCTCACCCCGGGCCTATCGGGACCCGAGCTGGGGTTTAGGGTTTCGAGGCGGAAATCCCCATCGGGGCTGGAGAAGGAAGAATACGGCTTCCGCGCGCGATGAAACTCGATCCTCCTCTGGAACAACGCCTCAACCTGAGAAACGGAACCGGAGGCACCCTCCGGCTTATTAGCCACCGACGATCCCGCCGACATCTTGAGCTCAAGCGGGGCGGGAGCGCTTAGGCTTTTAGCCCAGGATCGTGGAAATTGGGCAACACGGTCGCGAGACGACAGACGAGAGGGACGGTTTCGGCGCCGCTTCGCCGCCGTCTCTCCTACGGCCTCTCCAATCCCTGGCGGGCCGTGGCGTTGGCGTTATAAACCCCTGGAAGGATCCAACGGTTGGGGTGGCGTTGTCAGCCGAAACAGAGATCCAGGCCGTTGGTTTCCACGAAGCGCATTCGGATTCGTATTCAGGCTGTCGCCGGGTGGGGCCCGTTCCTTCAGCCACGGGAACGCTGGTGATTGGTCCACGTGGGGATCCTTTGTTGCATGGGGCCATTTTCCATATACACCCCTTTTCATTCCACTATTTTCATATGCATTTATACACATTTGCTCAACAGTCCAAACTATTTTTCATATGTACCCCTTACCATACTAGTATTTGCATGTAGGATCATATTAATATGCATGTACATCTCAATGTTACTTAGTTACGTGTATAACCTTCTTCAAATAGCAAGTATTTACTCTTATACGACTTTAAAATTCACATCTACCGCTGATCAATTTCCTCGATCATCTCCGACCGTTCATTGTAGACAATTGGGTGAAGACACTGTAGATTTGAAGGAAAGATTGCGGAAATGTAAGAGAAAAGGTTAGCCACATGATGCATTAATCATGTGGAAATAATTTTGAACCGAGTAAAATGAATTAAAGTGCATAATAAATCATATAATTTTGCATGAAGGATTGACAAGGGAGGAGGGTTTTATAAATAAAAGAAAAAATAAAAATAAAAAAACCGTAGGTATAGAGATCATCCGATGATAGAAAAAAATAAGAGAGATCATGGTTCTTATAAATTAGCTAGTCCATGAGTCCATAAGCACGAGATTAAGAGATCTATGTAATAATAATAATAATAATAATAATAATAATAATAATAATAATAATAATAATAATAATAATAATAATAATAATATTGAGTTGGGATGTAATAAATTAAAATATCTGAAGTTCCCGAGGGCCATGTCCAAAGAATTGACAGAGTTGATGTCACATCCCACACTTAAAAAAAAAAATATTATTTTATTATTTATAATTTATAAAAAAAATTATTTTGAATTCAAATATTTTATCTTTACAGCGCTAAATATTTTTTAACTAAAAAAATAATCACATCTAAAAAGTCTAGTCCACTCAAATCTCAAATCTATTACAAAATAACAAATTATTCTATAAATAAATAAATATAGTATAAAAATATATTAGCAACCATGAACCTCCTAAAATTTTAAAAAATAATATTTAATATTTATAATATATATTAATAATTTAATATATTAATAATATATTAATTCATTGCGAAACTTATGTATTAAAAATAATAATAATTCTTATGCAATAAATAAAATCATACATGATGACATATATAGCGGTCAAATAATAAAGATGTCAATCACACTGTACTCTCCTAATAACATACGAAGAGATATATTCTAGGGGATAGATTTTGCTTAATGAGAGAACTTATATCACACTTTTAATAATAAATGAAGTAGTATCTCTCATCCGCTAAAGTGGAAATACATTCCTATCAACATCAAAGAAAAAATCATATAATTATCACATTTCACAACTAGCTAATTATCGTATGGAATCGTTCTATATGCCTTTGATAAGAATATATAGTCAGTCATTATCATTCATTTATATTCATCAATTTATGGATGCATGCATTCAAAAAATAATATGATAAATCATGCTTGATGTATGGCTTATTATACTATGTCCATTAGTAGCTCCACAGCTCATAACTTCTTTCATATATTACACTTCCAATAGATCGTAACCACATATACTACATGTCAACCATCATGTTAATATCATTAATTTAATCTAATAAATTTAATAATCATTTTCAAATGATATATTTATAAAAATCTTTTTAATTCATCAAATCAAGACATTATATATTAATCTCTTAATAGTTCTCAATCAACTAGCATCATAATTAGGATAGCTTAATTGACTTAAATCAAACTCGATTCGAACTTAATAAAACCAACATTAAATCATTATATAATTGATATGGAATCACATAAAACCAGTTGAATTTAGATTTTATTGATCTTAATTAGGTAAAGTAGGCTTGAATCAGTTAAGTTGGGTTAGAATCATCCTATACTAACTTGAGTCAATCAAACATGTTTAATTCAGTCAACTAACGAGCTCAAACTAATAAAGAGAAAGGAATTTGGACTATATTACATAGTGCTAATTTAAATCGAACTGATCCACTTGACCCATGGATAGGTTACATGTACTGCATATGTCTATCTCAAGTAATAAGTTGAGTTAAGATACATTAGACTAGATAGATGGGCGATAATGTATTTATCGTCAATCGTATAGTTGGGCGGGTATATAGCTTTACGACCTGGGTTGAGCCTCATTCATGAGTTATGTTGAGCCTTGTTACTGAACTAGGTCATACTTAGCTCATTGGTTCAGTCTTGTATAGTTACATGAGTTGAATCATACCTTATCATATAGAATCGATCGTGACTGGCCACATGAGCTAAATTGTATTTGGTCACACGAGTTATGCTATACCTAACCACATACTTTGTACTTAGCAATATAGGTTAGTTTATACTTGACCAGCTGAACTATACCTAACCACATTGATTGAGTTATATATAACCATATGAGTTAGATCATACCATGGTGGTCACATGCTAGATTATACCTAACTACATGAGCTAATTTGGTCATGTAACTTAACTCATGTTAGATCTCAATTTGACCCATCTTATTAAATTAGATTTCAATATTTTTAATTTTTTTAAATAAATATTATAAAATAATAATTAATTTCGAGTCAAATTTTCATAAATTAACTAATTTCCATTCATGATTCCAAATATAAATATAATTAAATTATAAAAATTAATTTCTTGAAACATAAATATGTCTAACTAAATGAATTAGTATTATTATTAAATTAATTAATAATTTGATAAATTTTCTAACTTATCAATATGTTCAAGAAAATTACTTTTAATATTTTTCAATCATCTTACATAAATAAAAATGGTTAATAATTTAAATAAAATAATACATCATCTATGATAATTTGATTTATATTAAGAAAAAAAATCATTAAGTTAATGTATCATATTGATAATGAGATAATCGACTAGTAGCACAAAGCATAACTATTAATAAAACATGAAAATGGGTCGATTTATTTTCTCTCTAGCTTGTAAAACTTTTGTCATTCTACCGAGTAAATGAGTAATTTTGTTGTTGTTTAGATGGTCTACTTTGGATTTATCGAGTTAATGAATCACTTGATTATTGTGTTTTACTATTTATTTGTACTCGAGTATTTTAGACAATCTAATAATTAACATCGTTTGAATTGGTGTACGACAATTAACTAAATGTTAAATAATTTAAAAATAATAATTTAAAATTATCAAGTTAATGAATTAGTTATTTCATCAAATCAAATCATATGATAAATAGTATTAGAGATCATAAAGTATTTAACACATTGGGGGCTTAGATAAAAAAGAAAAAACCATCACCAAGCTTTTATCGTATGTGTATCAAACTAAATTTTAATTTTAGATTATATTGGTTCTTGATGATGGCAACAAGTACATGAACAAAGAAAGACAAAGGGTTTCTAATAGGACGAGAGATGGAGGATGATGTAAAAAAAATATATATATAAATTTTAATTTAATTATGAATCTGATTATTCACAATTAGTGTGACATCAAATCAAATCAAATCAAATCGATCGTCAATGCAAGGAGGCCTTGTGTAATGCAAGGGTCAGTCCGAGACGACTTGGCCGTCGTTACATGTGATCATCTACCGAGCCGAGACGACTCGGTCGCATTCCGAGTCTACCACCGGTCAATTGTTGCAGTCCGAGACGGCTCGACTGACGTTACATGTGACGTCAAAACAGATCCACACGTGGATCGCCACCGTAAGGATGGAGCCGAGATGACTCGGTCGCATTCCGAGTCCACCACGGTCAAGTGTGTCAGTTCGAGACGACTCGGTCGTCGTAGCGGAGTTACATGGAAGCAGAAACAAAACGAATCAAACCTATCGGAAACAAAAACGCTTTCCAGATCGGTGGGTGGAGTGGCGTGCACGGCGGTGATGACAACGGCCTTTACACCACCGCGCAATAAGCAATGGTGATGGTGGTGGGGCGAATCCACAGCTCCCATAGTGCTACACTCATGCCTTCTTCTTCTTCTTCTTCTTGTGATTAAAGACATGATGGATGGCCTCATGGAGCAATCCCACATTTCATCCTCTAAGCATGTCGATGTTATTTTACTGTACATTACATGATGAGGGTTTTGTGGATTATTTGCCGTGTAAAAGTGGCCATTGAAACTGTGATCAAGGAGCCAAGGAACACAACTTGATACATAACTATGCATTTGTTAGCACTATCCTTTTTAATGACGATTTTTCTATATCGTCTCTTTTATTTTTTTAAATAATATCTTTATTTAATATATATATATATATATATATATATATATATATATATATAT